CTCGGCAAGCCTCGGGGAATAGCACAATTCTAACCTTCCCTTGAGCGTAATAAAACAACTATTTCTCTCAAAGCAGTCATTAATACTATACTATTTCTCTCAAAGCAGTCATCAATACTATACTATTGTCAGTGTTGAGTGACTGACTGCCTTTTTCTCTTCTTTGGTAATAACATACATAAAATGAGCTGTAAAGGATTAGTCTACATTAATAACCCACTTCTTGTAATGGCCAAAATTAAACTGATTGAATCTTTGCGCTGCATAAAAGATCATGCGGTACAATGGTCTGAAAATCAAGACTACTACTTATTGGCTCTTTAGCTCCTAAGTCGATTTGACAACTAATAGTCGTCATTTTCCCACTTAAAGACATTTTCAAGCCCCTTTTTGTTAAGGGGAGTTCTAAATTAGTATTATCTTTCAAATTCCATTGGAATCTAACCTTATCATTTTTTTGGCCTGCAAATGGGACATAGTACCTTTAAAGGTTTTGGGAAATTTTGAAAATTGGGTGGATAGTGATTCTTTATAATTTTGATATAATTGAATGCCCCTGTGGATGTAATATAAGCACTAGAAAATTTAGCCCCTAAAACACTTCTGCCTTCGCATAAAAAATTGAATATCGAAATTTACTGGTGCTCCCGGTAAATTTCGATAAATTTCAAATACCACCTTCTGCTATACAATGGTAGCTGCGATTATGAAAATCTCAGAATATGTAGTTATGATTTATATAATTTCCAAACAGGAATAGCTGATCGGTCTATTTTAGTCGAGAAACATCATTTTATAGCTTTATTAATATCTTGACCTTGAGAGGGAGCTATACAACATAAAGAGCTTATTATTTATAATTTCATAACTTTAGGCTCTATTTCAACCGCAACAATGATCACTGAATATTGTAGGATCGCATATGCTTCCAATATGTTCATTTGAACCAAATTCATGACCCCATCCATACCAAAACTTTGTATTACCTTTAATACTCTAATGTGTTTATAACTTTACCCATTTAAAACCAATGTATACAGGTGTGTCTACTATCACCTTACATCTTGTCATGGAATGATGCATTACCTAATATGGTTAAATATTGCATTCAATAGCGAAATGACAATAAAAAATGAAATGTATATCTTTTGCGACCCATCATAAACATTAAACAAATGTGTTATACATCAAGTCCTACAATTTTCAACCATGTAATATGGATGAATCTACAATAAATTGTAAAAAACTAATGATGCCCCCCCCCCCACACTTTGTTGTGTTGTTGGTGGAATGGCATGATTTTGATGAAGAGATTTATGGATTTAATGTGAGTTTGGCTAAAAAATCTCTTGCCGATAGGAAATTAAATAACTACACTTCATATCTAGTTGTCTATTAATAATGTTTTTATTGAAAAAAGCACTTATGGCAATATGCATGTATGCAGTCTCTTCTTTATAGCAGTATTTGTGGAATAATTTATGATTATCTTTCTGCCTAGCACTGTACAGTATCAACAATGTGATAATATTGTAAAGGCAGGTGAATTCCTCTGCGTTTACTCATGTTTCTCTGTGGTTTAGCTGGTCTAGTGTAATATCACCTTTATCTAGTCCCTGTTGCGTTCTCTCTGTTTCCCCAGAGTTTTGCCCTGCACAAGAATCTGGCAATATTTCAAACCATGCAAAGTTATCCTACAAAAATCTTGTTTTAAAGGTAAAGGTTAACCACTAACATTAGCTGGAAAGTTTATAGTGCAAAACAGTCCAAAATCAAAAACACATATTCCCGCCAAATAACAAAAACAACAAAGTTGAAAAGTTTGTCATATTTTAGTATAATCTGTCCATTGCACCAATGCTTGGAGAATAACAATAGCTATTTACAAAATAAAACTGAAAACTTTACAGAAATCTGCAAATATCAATGACAAAATGTCATCCTTTTTTTTTTTAACTTGTAATAATAGGTTAAAAGTTGACATATAAATCCACTGTTTGCAAAACTGAGAGTGCACTTCTGCTAGCCTCGTGATTGATAAAATATCTAACTAAATATTTATAACCCAAAGTTCTTCTTTTCCAACATTTGTATATGAACCATCTAAATAAATAAATAAAAAGGGGGCTAACAGTTTTTTTTGTTTTCCTCATTTCTCTCATACGTAATAATATAACTTTCATCATCTTTTTGAATGATAAAATACTGAGAAAGTAAGTCATGATTTTTCTGCTTTTAAATAAGTGCTAGTATGCTTAGTAGTAACAGTTACTTAAATACCTATGATTTCTCAGTTTCATAAAAGATGATTATGATTCACATGGTTTCAATCACAAATATCCTGAGGGTTAAATAAATCAGATAAGCAACCTATCAACTGATTGCCTGATACAATCATAGCCAAGCACTAGTGAGGTTCACATGGCAGTCTGTTAACTTAAAGTTTAGGTCATGGTTATAAACTTTGAAGTTAACTCATAGTTATTTTCCGTGCAGATACACTCATGTTTACTAACATTTTACGTTATTTTAAGCGAAGACGCGGTTTACTTAAAAGGTTATGCTACCTTGTAGTTAACTTTGAATACTGTTGTTCGGCAGCATGGTTAGTGGATTGTTGTTTATAACTTCAAAGGTGAACGAACATAAAGTTTATGACTACCGTGTGAACGTAGCTATTGGCATGATCGAAGCACTATAGGTCCCTTTTCTCAATACAAGATAGACCCTCACAAACCCATATACAAAATTGTGTTGACAAACAAATGATAGCCATTTATTAGCTACGGTAAACTTATGAAAGAATGGAGGACCGAGAGAAAAACATGACATAAAACAAGCAAAATTATGTTGCAATATCATTTTGAAAGTTGCTTTTAGTCTCTTTTATCTTCAAAAGAAAACAAAATCATGGCCAACGCCTGTCAAAATCAATCTCAATAATACATGATGAAACTGGGATCTCTTCCAAAGTCTGCCCATGTCTCTAATGACAATGTAATGGATATAAGTAATATTGACTTTGGGAAACAAACTCTAAATAAAGGAAAAAGATAAAAAGAAGAAGAAAAAAAATTAATTTCATAAATACCCTGTACTAAAATAGGGATACACAATTCTTTGTGCTGTTAAATGCCTGCAAGACTTTTTCTCGCATCACTTTTTGTGCCATCAAACAAACCCTTTTGATGTTCCATACTACGTTTTGAAAGGGAATGTGAATAGGGGTCGACCAGGCAATGAAAAGAGAGTCAAGACTGAAATGGTGAGTTGCCATTTTTTTGGGGGTAGTGCCACTAGTGAGTGAGCTGATACGATCATTGAGTGATCTTAAACCATGACCTAATCATGGTATGTCGACAGCAATCCTTTGTAGAAGCAGCAACAAGAATAGTCTCCAGTATAAGGAGTTCAATAGATTTAGAGTTGACAGATTAAATAAAGGCATTATAGAGGCAAGTCATAATATATTCTATTGTTACTGATGTTATTGTTGCACAATTTGATTCTTCCATGAATAAATACACATTCAGGAATTTCAGGTCATGTTAATATCATCTAGGTCTTTATACCAGGTAATTAAATAAACTTCCCACCCCAACCCTAAATTTATAACAAATTAGCAGGAGAAAACTTTGACAAAAATCAGAACTACTTTCATGTTATTCAATAATAGCCTCCCAGATTTGATATTGTTGATAATAAACTTGTGTTATGCTCCTATTATGAGCACTTCAGAGGTGTAGGAAAGGGGTATATATTCTCTACATGCACTCAAGTGGGATCATTTCACTTCAGAGTATTAAAAAACCTTACTTCAAAGATACTATGTCCCTTTTGCAGCCAACTTCAAATTATGTAGAACTTTGCAGGAATTATGAATATGTCATGTATGTGAAAGGAGATGGAGGTGAAGTAAATCATCAGAAGCTTTATTTTCACTTCTGTACAAGTTTGAAATTTTATGACAATACCACGGATTGAGGTGCATAGCTCTAAAGCAGCTAGTTCTAGATAACGCTTAAGTTTCACAAAGACTGAGTGGTCAGACTTTCATGCATCTGATGGGCATTTAACTTTCTCATCCCTTTAAAGCATATACCTAACACAGTTAGCATTCTATCATAACACTGTACAACCTTGACCCCAAGAGGGCAGAGCTTTTAAGCTCTAAAGACTGGCATCAGAGTATAATGAATACCTGGTGGATTTAGAAAACAGAAACCAGAGAAATTCACTACAAGTCTGGGCTCATTAAAGATAATACAAAGTTTTGGGAAATTCTGAAATTGGGTGGATAGTGATTCTTTACAATTTTGATAAATTTGAATGCCTCTGTGGATGTATTATAAGCACTAGAAAATTTGGCCCCTAAAACATTTCTGCTTTCGAGAAAAAATTAACATAAAAATTTACCGGTGCTCCTGGTAAATTTTGATAGATTTAAAATAGTGCCTAGGGTCGTACAATCGTAGCTGCGACCATGAAAATGTCAGAATATGTAGTTGTGATACATAATTCCCAAACGGAAATAGTTAATCGGTCGATTTTAGTCAAGAACAATTGTTTTATAGCGTAATTAATATCTTGACCTTGAGAGGGAGCTATACAACATAAACAGTTTATTATTTACAATTTCATAACTTTAGACTCGATTTCAACCGCGACAACGATCACTGAATATGGTAGGATCGCATATGCTTCCAACATTTTCATTTGAAACAAATTCATGACCCCATACCAAAACTTTGTGTTACCTTTAACAAAATCATTTTGAAAAACCATTTGTGTTCTTTGACTGCCATATTATTATTGCAAAATTATTTACTTTACTTGTATCAAAGAGAACTGTTGCTGAGCTAGCGCCATGAGCGTCCCTGGACGGTGTGTGCGCTCTATAAGTTTACACTATTATTATTATTTTATTATTCACACTACTCTTCATGGTAAGCTGCAATGTGCTGTGGCGTAGTCAGGACGTTTTCAGTGGGGGGGGGCACGGATCATCATTTTTTCACACTTACAACGTGTATTTTGCGAGGGAGTGAAAAATTGCATTTAGACGTATTAAAATTGTGCATTTTGACAGAGCTTATCAAGTGTTACTAATAATTAAAGAATCATATTCTATTTGTGTTTGTGTTTTTTCATTCTTTTTAGTGAGAAGGGGGAGGGGTGCCTGAGGGACACCAGAAGCCCCACTGGCTATGCAACAAATGCCCCAAACTTTGTCACTGGTTTTGCAGACCACGATTTACCACAGTTTGCAAAACCAATGGCAAATTATTTTGAGATTAATATTTTGAAGATTGATGCATTTCAGAAAAAATGTGTGCTAAGAGCCAGAAGACCATCTACCCCACTCAATTTGATTTACATTAACAAACATATTATAAGGTATACAGTACACCCTTCTTGCTCTATAAAAAAAAGGAAAGTTTGTTTCAATTACACTCTACAGTATGGACATTTGAGATGTACCACTCATACCAGTCTGAGACCTCTACATACTTTCAGAGTATGGACATTTGAGATGTACCACTCATACCAGTCTGAGACCTGTACATACTTTCAGAGTATGGACATTTGAGATGTACCACTCATACCAGTCTGAGACCTGTACATACTTTCAGAGTATGTACATTTGAGATGTACCACTCATACCAGTCTGAGACTTGTACTTACTTTCAGAGTATGGACATTTGGGATGTACCACTCATACCAGTCTGAGACCTGTACATACTTTCAGAGTATGGACATTTGAGATGTACCACTCATACCAGTCTGAGACCTGTACATACTTTCAGAGTATGGACATTTGAGATGTACCACTCATTCCAGTCTGAGACCTGTACATACTTTCAGAGTATGGACATTTGAGATGTACCACTCATACCAGTCTGAGACCTGTACATACTTTCAGAGTATGGACATTTGAGATGTACCACTCATACCAGTCTGAGACCTGTACATACTTTCAGAGTATGGACATTTGAGATGTACCACTCATACCAGTCTGAGACCTGTACATACTTTCAGAGTATGGACATTTGAGATGTACCACTCATTCCAGTCTGAGACCTGTACATACTTTCAGAGTATGGACATTTGAGATGTACCACTCATACCAGTCTGAGACCTGTACATACTTTCAGAGTATGGACATTTGAGATGTACCACTCATACCAGTCTGAGACCTGTACATACTTTCAGAGTATGGACATTTGAGATGTACCACTCATACCAGTCTGAGACCTGTACATACTTTCAGAGTATGGACATTTGAGATGTACCACTCATACCAGTCTGAGACCTCTACATACTTTCAGAGTATGGACATTTGAGATGTACCACTCATACCAGTCTGAGACTTGTACATACTTTCAGAGTATGGACATTTGAGATGTACCACTCATACCAGTCTGAGACCTGTACATACTTTCAGAGTATGGACATTTGAGATGTAACACTCATACCAGTCTGAGACTTGTACATACTTTCAGAGTATGGACATTTGAGATGTACCACTCATACCAGTCTGAGACCTGTACATACTTTATGAGTATGGACATTTGAGATGTACCACTCATACCAGTCTGAGACCTGTACATAGGTCTAGATTCTATCAAACTTTTCCAGAAGATGATGACAACAACATGGCTAACATGAAAACAAAACAAGCCATAGGTACTCTTTCCCATATTTATTTTTTTTTTTTTAAATTTATTTATTTATTTATTTATTTTATTTATTTATTTATTTTTTTTTTTTTTTTGGGGGGGGGGGCTATTCCGTGATTACCTGAGACAAGACTGTTAAACTCATAATTATAACAAATTACATATGGATGGAAAGATTTTCTCTTGAAAAACACGAATAATTTGCTGAGAAATCATATAGATATGGAAAGGCGTAAAATGCAATTTTTCAAGACCCTTCTTAGACCCCCAAACGCCCCTGAATGTAAGCCAAACACACAAGCGTAGCGAGCTCTGAATAGTGACGTCACACACTGGACAAACAGCTTAGTGCTGTGTAGCAGTCCATAGCTAGCCAGCCGTGTCCCGTATGTGACATCACAAATATTGACGCTCTACAAAGGACCGCTGAAGGCAGACAATCTGGATCTCAAAACTAACATTTTTGAGAGTTGATTACTGCGGGCCCCAAACATATTTTGAAGAAAAGAGTTGTTGTATTTAATCGGCAAGGCTTCCCCTTCGCAATGATATGAGTTTTGCATCGATTCAAAATACTTATGATTCTTCGTGTGGTACTTTAAAGGTAAAGACTAGTTTTGGAAACGCCCCCCTCTCAAAAAAATGAAATGGAAGCTCTTATTATTACCAATCATGTGAAAGAATATGTTTTGACTAATACGCGATGACACAAATTTTGCCGGGAAACCGCCTACTAATTGATATATTTGGTAAATTATTATATCTATCCGGACCGGATTGTGTAGTCCCATATACATCTTTTTGTGTACAGTGTTTGTAACTTTATCAAGACTGGGCCAAATTCTTATCATTTTGATGATTCCAGAACCTTGCAGTACACACCAATACACTAGGAGGCACGATAGCTCAGTCGGTAGAGCAGTGGTCCCGTAATCCGGTGACCCGGGTTCGAAACCAAGTCGATGCGCTAGTGCCCTTTGGTAAGGCATTAATCCTTATTACCAGGTCCCTCGGAGAGGACCTAAAGCCGTCGGCCGTCTGGTTGCTTACGTACAAGCATTTAAAGCAGTCAGGTAAAATAACCACCACCTTTATCATTCGTTATTTCTTAATACTTATACCGTGTGAGTCAAGAAAATTGCTAATCATTACAAAAATCATCTACGAGCAGTAAATTATTATACATCCTATGAAAGAGCGTTTTATCCCAAATCATTTGGTATCATTTTCTGTGGTATGTTTTCATGCGTGGATGAACAGGAGGCATTGTTTGCGAGAGTGCAAAAATCGACTTGCGCCAAAGTGATGCCTACAGTATGTGATATGTAGGGATTAAAGTGAGAGAATGAATTGAGTGTATCAAATGAAATGTATTGCACATGCTTTTTGCAGTAGCAAAGTCAAGCACAAAAATGTTCGTTGATATTTGATAATCTATATTTGATATGTGTGGCATGATTAATTTTGTTAGGGATGTTATTTTGATCTGCAATGACCGAATTAATACCCAAATCCGTATTGTTTTATTCAAACATCACGTAAGCAACTTTGGCTCAAGTCGATTTTTGCACTCTTGCAAACAATGCCTCCTGTTCATCCAAGCGTGAACACATTTCACACAAAAAGGATACTAAATGATTCGGGATAAAACACTCTTTCATAGGATGTATAATAAAGTACTGTTGATAGATGATTTATAAAATAATTAGCAATTTTCTAGGTGTTAACTTTTTTTTTACTCACACTGTATGCTTGATGATCAATCTTTTCTGATCGATTCCACAACATTACTTTCACAATGCAATCGCATGACCAGAACTGGTCTATACCTGTAAATATAATGTGAACTGGCCAGTGGAACAACACAGCCTGATGAGGAATCACCCTTTTTACATGAAAATGGAGAAGAACAAATCAAGATCTTGAGTCAAGAAGCAAAACTGTGTTTTGAGTTGCATCTCTTGAGGATTGTAAGTTGTCAACACTTTCTATCAACACAGGTATTATTATTCTTGGAAGAGAGTGGGTCATTTAATCTAGGGTACAAGGCTATCTACCCCAGGAGGAAAGTAAGAGATGGAGAAGGGGCGAGTATAGCTCAGTTTCTTGGCCAAATGAGTCACACCCCTTCTAAAGTCAAACATAGACTGGCTTATAAAGGCTTTTACATCCCACTCTATGCGGTTAATTAAAGGTAAAACTGGACAGTCTCCTACTAGTCTGCAGGCACACACTCTAATTTGAAACTATACCCCAATTCCAAAATCCTTGAGCAAAGCCTAGCTCTGAGAGTCTCTGGCTGTGTCAAAAAGAGCAGCTTTAGTACAGAGTCTATGCCCTCAACATGGTCTCACAGCGCAGACACTGTTACACACAACACCTGATGTGGGTTTGTGCATGCAGATTAGTCTTCTTAACATGGTCTCACAGCGCAGACACTGTTACACAACACCTGATGTGGGTTTGTGCATGCAGATTAGTCTTCTTAACATGGTCTCACAGCGCAGACACTGTTACACACAACACCTGATGTGGGTTTGTGCATGCAGATTAGTCTTCTTAACATGGTCTCACAGCGCAGACACTGTTACACACAACACCTGATGTGGGTTTGTGCATGCAGATTAGTCTTCTTAACATGGTCTCACAGCGCAGACACTGTTACACACAACACCTGATGTGGGTTTGTGCATGCAGATTAGTCTTCTTAACATGGTCTCACAGCGCAGACACTGTTACACACAACACCTGATGTGGGTTTGTGCATGCAGATTAGTCTTCTTAACATGGTCTCACAGCGCAGACACTGTTACACACAACACCTGATGTGGGTTTGTGCATGCAGATTAGTCTTCTTAACATGGTCTCACAGCGCAGACACTGTTACACACAACACCTGATGTGGGTTTGTGCATGCAGATTAGTCTTCTTCCAACAGAGTTTGTTCAAAATCATTTTTAAGTGAGTTGTTCTGCCTGAAAGTCTGTGTTATGTTTTAACTCTTAATTTTATAAACTTTCTTGAATACAATTAGAAAGGAACCTAAGTTCATCATGAATAAACTAAAACCAATATGAACTTGCAGATCCTAAAAATCTTCCCTACAAAATGCCAATGAAAAGGCGGACATCCTGTAATCACTTACAAATTTAGACTTACAAAGATATAGGGCGTGTTTATGCCAGACTTTTTCTGGCCAGAATCAGGCATCTGTCACGCGTATAGTTTAAAACACGGTTGCGTCCTTTCTCACTTATGTAGAATCACCAAAAAACGGCGATCACGATCGCTGATCGTAAACTCACAAAAACGTGCGTTTACAATTTGTAAACGCGTTTAAATGGGGTCAACGCACTGATCTCTAGTGGGTCTACGTAGCATGCACAGTGCAGGTTTGCGAATCCAGCTGCAAGACCAATTAGGGCCACCCAGCAAGAATTGCCTGGAGGAGCCAGAGAAGTGAGCATAAACAGTACACCGTGGAACTGCGATTACGATGAGCGTTTACGATGAGCGTTTCATATCGCTCATTCTGCCTTCAAAATTGAGCTTAAACGCACTCTAAGACTTATGCAAAAGAACCCACACAAACTTGTCAAAATGTTCTCAAAGTCAAACTATATTAATCAAAGATCAAACTTAGTAGTCCCAAGAGAGCCGTGTGCAGGGATATGATTGACATATATGATGACCGAGTAATTAGAAGATTGTGAAGGAGGTTCTCCTTAATTTGTCAGATTCTTGGAACAAGGTAATGATCTAAAATTGACAACAGGAAAATTCACCTGCATCTAAAGGGCATTTGAGGGATATCAAGGGAGAAAGGGACAATTTGACCTTTCTTTTCCCAAACTTTCCCTCATCACACCCACACCCATCTCTCTCTCTCTCTCTCTCTCTCTAATTTGCACATCAAATGTCAAAATCAAAGGTGTTGCTAACTAAACAACTAGTTAAGCTTTTGGGTGTGTTTTTACAGGAGGACTTAAAATTGTCATTTCATGTCAAAAAAATGGTCAAGGTGGCAAGCATAAGGCTACACATGATGCGTATCTTGAAAGGTTTTCGGCTAACTATTGAGGATTTGAAAGCTGTATGTTGTTTGTACGTGCACCCGAAAGTTGAATACTGCGCACCTGTTTGGCATCCAGGCTTGACTCGGGTAGACAAGAAACTGATAGAGAATTCACAAACGAGGGTGTCGCCTCATGCTTGGCCAGAAAAAAACGAGTTACGATGATGCCCTCAATGTTCTTGACCTTCCCACACTGGAGGAGAGGAGGGAAAGGTTGACAATGAAATTTGCAGTGCCGTTTATTAGGGCTATGTGTAGACAGGCGGCATACACTATAATCATGGATCAACTAATGCTATAATGTATTATATACCTCACTTAAGAAATCCAGCCATCTGATTGGTCGAAATGGCATTCATAAACTTTAACTATTTCTGTAAAATTCCCAGTAACCATGGTTAAAACAGTTCTAAAATCCCAGTAACCATGGTTACCGGGAAAATAGTTCAGTCTCCATGGTTACCCCATAGGTTTACATGTTAAAAAACGGTTTGAGCGATTGAGGATACCGTACGTGTGCGAAGAATTGGTCGGTATTTGCATACAAGACGACAATTCCAAACAAGTCAAAAATGGCTAAAGAAACTGTCCCAAGATTTCAACTTATCAAATGCAAGACTTGCTGACAGCAAGAACAACAAAAAGGGTACGTGAAATTATCCATAAACATGTTAGTTTAGTTGCTGAAAATGGAGTACCAGCATAGACGTAGACGAAAAATAGATCTAGTTGTCAGGGTGTCTGATCGCGCATCCGATGTTGTGTGCTATATTCTTCCCATAGAGATTACACGCAATGCAGTCTCTATGCAGTCTACGTGCATTGCGCGACCATGCAAAAAAAGTCAAGTTTTTTTTTTCAATTCGAGATTCAAACCTTTATCTGTTGTGATCCTGAAGGTGATACTCAATAAGTGAGGTGTCATATGAAAGCGCAGGTTCTTCTCTCTATTCCCCACAGGGCCGGTCCACCCCCAAAATTGTAAAAATATCTTGCTTAGACTAGAATCTAGATCTAGTCTACTCTCAAAGATACACTCTTAAAAAACAACTGTGCAGATAAACTAGAGAAAGGCCAAGGTGGTGTCATAAGTTGCCTCTTTTGTTTTCGGCATATAAAAGTATTAATGACTGCTTTAATATTCGAGAAATAGTATAGTATTGATGACTGCTTTGAGAGAAATAGTTGTTTTTATACGCTCAAGGGAAGGTTAGAATTGTGCTATTACCCGAGGCGTGCCGAGGGGAATAGCCCAATTGTAACCTTCCCGAGAGCGTATAAAAACAACTATTTCTCGAATATTAAAGCAGTCATTAATACTTTTATATGCCGAAAAAAATAGACTAAAAAATAAAAAATAAAAAATACTT